GTTAAGCCCTAGATAATCTATTCCTCATAATCTTCGCTATCGTGTTGCGCCACCTTTTCTTTCTTTCTTCCTTTTAGTTTTAGTTTAGACGCGAGTCTTTTCATTTAACCCAATGTTGACTTATGAGCTCCACCTTTAAATTTCATCAGTATCCAAATTATTTTTGTATGAAGAAAATCATAAATTACTACAATAGTTACTTCAGCATTCAATACAAATATACTTACAATCTTGTTTTACACCGGGAATGGGTATATTCGATTTGGTCTTGCAATCAATTGATAGCCCTCTTGGATATTTTCCACCTGGTCTTCCAAATACCCCATCCTCAGTGAAATATTGATCTTCTTTAAGTTTATACCTGTCCCAACTTGATCCGGGACGATCAATTACATCTCCACTCGTAAATAATGCTTCATCTTCATCACCTATAGCAACCACACAACACATAGGCTGTGAAAAAGAAAAAATCGTATCTAAAATATTGGAGTTTTTATAAAAATGTGAATATTTTTTGTAAAAAAATTTCACTTACCAAAGTAATGGCTATGATGGATAAAATAGTTATCAAATTCATGACTATAAATGAAGAACAGAACACACAGAAAAGCTCGGATTTTCAATAAAAAACGTAGTTTTAAAACACAAAATAGACTGAATTGTCTGATTTTAATACAATGAAGAACAGAACGTTCAAGTTTTCGGAGAACTCACTTATGAACGAATAAAAATCCAATGATTGAGTCTTCGTATTTATAATAATTCCATTACCAATTAATTCTATCTTATTAAGAGAACATCTATTCAGAATAATTATATTATGTGCGTTTTTGCTTATACACATTCATAGTGTTAATGATTGCCCGAGAATGAAAGCGAGACTTCTATTCACAAGGCTGTTTTTCTCAATTTCGAAGGACATCATACAATTTGAGACATTTCACATTATAATGAAAAATAGGAAAACAGAGTTAATTGTAATATAAAATTTTATGACACGTGGATTGATCGTGAACTCATTCTTATCATTTTAATTTGCTTGTTTCACAGAAATATTGGAAATGGAATGTAATGAATAACGAATCCCCATCCATGAATGTTTTTTAGAAGTTTGAAATGAAAAATAGATTCCTTGAATTGTTTGAACTAATTGAATCGCACGGTTTATTCAAATTTAATTTGTGTGTCGTATTGAATTGAATTAAAAAAATTAACATTAATGTGATATTGAGTATGCAAAATACACACTTTGACAGCTTTGATATGACAAATTAATCACTTAATTGCATTATTTTTCTATTATCAACAGCTTGTTTGCTTGAGGTATATTTTCACACTTTGTAACATTTTCTTCACTTAATTTTGATGTAAAGTATGAAATAATTTGTCTGAGGATCATGTTTAAAAGAACACTGAGGTAACGGTTGTGACACTTCTATTGTGACTAAAACATTTGGTCAACGGACCTTTCACACAAGATCTTTGCCGTGGCCAACAATTTGTCTTTGCACAAGATTAACATACCTCGACAAAAACTTTCAAGTGAGTGCTCCATTAGGAGTTTTGCATGCCAAAGCTGTGTACATTGTGTCGCAGTTTTTCTCACATCTATGGATGTTGATCAAAAGAAGAAAAAAACGTGTTTTTCATTCGGTTTCCATGTAAAATTCATAACTTGGAAAAGTTGTCGAAAACTTGATGATGACAAACGTATCACAATTGAAGTAACATAAGAGAAAGAAAAGCCACCTTTTTCACTCGCGTTCAATGAAACCGATTGATACGTATCGCACAAAAGTACTGCTTCCCACGAAAAGTTTGTCGTCTGCGTATTTTGAATTCGATGGAATTTCATACAACAAACTTTGTGTACGACCGAAGTAACTACGCCATTGCGACTGAAAGTTTTTTTTATGTACGACCGATTTGTGAACAATACCGATGAACAAAGCTTTCTAATAGCGACACAAATTACGAAAAAATGTGAACCTGATCCGACATGTTGTCAACTTGCTTTGACTACGAAAAAGTTTGTGATTATATTTGTGAATTGAAAAATAAAACGAGATGAAGTGGATTCGAGTTTTACTTTTAAAAAAATCAAATGTTTTTATTGCAAACGAAATGAGAATTTAATGCAAAATAAATAGATATTTGCAGTTATCGTCCGCCAATATTGCGGATATTGATCTGATTCTGCACGAATGGCTGTGGCTCAACATCATCAAAGTGCTTATTCGTATCCGTTAATTTAATTCAATTGCAAAATTGTGGCTCTGGCCAGTATCAATAACAATACCATTTCATTACACATTTTCATTGTTATATCCGAAACACAATTTCAAATACACTCGATATCCTCTCTGCGTAAATTGGTTCATTGGCGCAGTGAAATTAAATCATAGGTATAGTTGACACGGTTTGCTCAACCGAAGACAATGTTCGGTATTAGTTTTCGACACGATATATATTGTACGTAGCACAAAGCACCTAGATACAATTGCCTACAATGTACATTGACTCAATGTCATTGAGTACACAGTGATAACATCTTCGTTATTAACAAGAACGAAAAGTGTATGAAGTGAAGCGGTGCATCCTTATTCTATTCGGTCATCGAGTTTTTGTACGAACCAAACATAAAATGGATTAACCAAATGAAATCGATAAGTATTTTGTAATACTAAATAGCAATTGTTTCGGAAGAGATTTCGTTTCAGTTGGCTGTCAACAAAATGATTGCAATTCACATTGTTTATCACGGCATACACACGGCCAAATACTTTGAAATGAAATGAAGTCTTAAACTGTAGCTGTCAAGTATGTACGAGATACTAAGTTTTTTCATTGATGCTATTTTCATGCATCTATTTGCAGTAAAGTTACGTAACCAAAACCATAATATAATATAATCACTTCGATTATCAGTGATAACTTATCACAGCTAAAGTTATGTGGAAGCACAATACCAAGTTTAAATTTGGGGCTAAATATTTGCCGGAGATGGAATCATGGATCGTAATTTCTACCTTCATTGCAGCAATTTACGAACCGTCAATTGTCTTGTTTCCTATTTTAATGACTTTGCCTCTTCATTTATCCACTAACATATTCAACCGAAACTGACCTCAATTCAACCACTTATGAAATTCGGAAGTTACGTGGTGTAATTTCTATACTGAAATCTTTGCAAACCACACACACACGCTTCGTTCATTGCAAATTCATTAGTTTACCATATTTTCACAGGCTAATAATAAATCGGAATTTGAAATGATGACGCCTGACATAAACACAAAACTCAAATCAACCCGAACATTTTTGCTGGAATAAATTATGGTTGCAACAAAACATAAATGTTTTGGCTTAATCAAGCAATATTAGACGCTATTCCTTATGTCTATTGGCTTATGTTTGCATGAAAATGTGCAAATAATTCACATGAATATCAATGTTTGATCAAACATAAACAGAAGGGTTTCGACCTGGCAACTAGGGTATCTGAAGTGATTCCAAAGTTCCATTCATTTCTTCGACGTATGCTGTCGTCAGTCAAATGAATTTCACACTTGAGTGCTGTCGAAGTATGAAAGACAACGTAATTGCAATTTGATTTTTTTTTCATCAATAATGATTTCAGTGTCATCAGACTTTATTTTTATATTCATTTTTTTCTTCATGTTCATTGTTGGCAAGTTTTCTACAATTTTTTTTATTTCTTCATCAATTCAGCGAACATTAACTCTCTTTGATTATAAAGATAAATTTCGACTTTTAAGTGCACTCAATGTCACGCATTTGTCTTTCATGTGAAATAAAATAATTTACAAAATAATTTTTTTTATTTTGATGTAGTGTTTCGTTTGATTTTATCACCATACAAAAAATCGAACAAGTCAGATACATCAAGAAACCAATTTAACATATAATATCAGAAACATATGACTGGTACATGTATGCCCACGACCCACGTAAAATGATATCAAGTAACGTATTATTTACTGGCTATTTTTACCAAAACGCAGCTATAAACGGATAGTTCTTGTTGTCAAAAAATATTGGATTATTGGATCCTACTACGAATAGTATCATACTATATCAGTATTCACTGGTTCATGCACCATTCACACAAATAGTGTATTGGTGCACAAATTGTGTCTAAATGTCTTTAGTGTTTGTATCGGTCAATGAGCTGCATGTTTTTTTAAAGCATAGTTTGAAGCAATTCATCGAAGTTTAAATCGTTAATTCAGTTTTATTCTCAGCTACACATATGTAGACGGAACAAATACTATACAAAATACCTCGATTCAACATGTAATACACAAGATTTTATGGTACAACTCATCGTATAAGACGTCATACAAAATACCACAATATTAAACACATGATTAAACTACACGTGTAACTAATAAATAATATGTATAGACTTTTTGGCACAATATGCTTAATCATATAAAAATGCGAAGAATTTGTTATCTAATCATGATTTGCGACCAACACGCGCATAAAAAAAAAACCTCTTAAGTGTAGAAAGATTAAATATGTCGCTTATCGAATAATTTGTTAAATCTTGTTTATTTGAAAATAAGGCGACGTGGGGGAAATTGGGACGCGCTTTTTTTATTCAATAGAAGTATAATCTATAAGAAATGGTCATTGGCTAACACCCTAGCAATTTTCAATTTTTTTTAAAGAAAAAATACGAAATTTTCCGAAGATGTTATTTGTAGACCTCAAAAGTAGTAACGTAAAGTGTGTTGTGCATTAAAGCATGGTCAAAGGAATCATTATTATATCGTTAAATTGATAAATGGAGCTGACTACTTATACTATCTTGGTTTGGTTTGGTTTGGCATTTGAAAATTTTGATGTGTATCGTGTAATCCCACGTCCACTTTTCCCCAAATTTCTCCTTTATAAATCATTTACCGCTACATTGAATTTACCTATAAAAGCATTGAACAAATTCGCATGATTTAGTTGTGTGAATGGCAGTTGATTAATTTCGTTCACTTTTTTCATTCACTTTACATTTTAAAATGTGCAAGTTCATACTTATTAACATATGTTTATGGCAATGGATTTTTGTCATTGTCAACTGTGACTATTTGAGAGTAAATACCACCACTGGTCCAATGATAGGCGTTTCACAGACGACATTTGTGAATAAAGTACCGTATTTATCATACAAAGGAGTGCCCTATGCCCAACCTCCCATTGGAGAATTGAGATTTAAGGTATTTTAGTCAAGGTGATTATTTCACCGATTTTCTTAAAAATCAAAATTATTTTTTGAATCGAAATAGACACCACTCGCAGTAAAACCATGGTCAAACCCAATTGTGACCACCGATGAATTTCAACCTTCCTGTCTCGTACTTGCTTCGTCCAAATTTCTTGAATTGAATTCGAAACAAAGCGAAAATTGCCTCTTTTTAAATGTATATACGCCTGGTAATTTTTTGGACTATGAATACGATTGATGTCAGTAATTAACTAAAAACTTCAATAAATTCCAAACATTTTTTTCTTTATAGTCATGGATAAGATAAAAGTTAATAAAAAACTACCCGTGCTGTTCTTCATCCCTGGTGGCGGATTCACTGAAGGTGATGGTACCGATGGATATTATGGTCCCGATTTTATATTGGAGCATGAAGTCATTCTTGTTACAATCAATTATCGTTTGGGTCCATTTGGCTTTGCCAATTTCGATGTAGAAGGTTATACTGGCAATATGGGACTCAAAGATCAACGTTTAGCATTGAATTGGGTTAAAGAAAATATTGTATTTTTCGGCGGTGATCCAAATTCGATAGCATTGGCTGGTGAAAGTGCTGGAAAGTGCATTTAAAACAACATGAAATTTCATTTAAAATTGAACTAAATCTAAATTCTATGGATTATAGGTTCAGTTTCAGTGCATTTACATCTATTGACGGGTGGATGCGAGCATGTAAATCGGGCAATCATGTGGAGTGGTCATGCATTCAATTATTGGGCATACTATAGAGAAAACAATCAATTAAATGTGTTGAGAGAAACATTCAAAGATGAACTGGGAAATAGAACGAGCAAAAGAGATTTATTAGATTTCATGATTCATGCATCGGCAAAACTAATCGTTGAAAAAACACCAACTTCTGGTTGGTCTAGAAATACTAATACAATATTTTGGACTCCGGCTATTGAAGGTAAGATGATTTTTTACTTTCTTCCAGCCACTTTGATGGATGACAAACAAAATGTTGAAAAGTCCGTCAATTTGAGAAATAACATTTCTAATTTATAATACAGATAAAAGTAAGGCCATCCAGCCGTTTTTAACCGAAAAACCACATAAAATCTATGCAAACAATCGATTCAGTTCTCATTGCAAGAATGTTGAAGTATTTGCGGGTATAACCAGTTCTGTGAGTATAACTTATTAAACGATATTTCACGAGGAATTAAATCGTGTGTTTTTTTAGGAATTCATGACATTCATTGACCCAATCAATCTCTATTCATGGATTGAACCAATGAAATATAATTTAATCATTGGTCTACCATATCATGGACTCACTTTGACGCCAGACGATAATGTATGTAGTTTTCTCTATTTTTTCAGTAAATTTACTTCTAACAACTGTCTCAACCGAATGTTTATTAACAATAGAAACTTTTAGAAATACAAATCAATGCAGGCTAAAATCAAACAGTTTTACTTCGGCGATGAAGAAATTGAAGCAACCCCCGAACATCTGAATCAATACATTCAAATGTTTACAGATATACATTTTCTGATTCCATTTTATGAAACCATGCGATTACATGCAAAAGTGTCGAAAATGTTTTGTCACTTGTAAGCCTGTCAAAAAATGTGTTATAAAATTGTAATCTTTTGATTTTAATCGATAATTTTTAGTTTTGACATAGATTTGGGTACAAACATCATAAAGAAATCAAGACATTTGGAAATGGTTGATAGAATGGGACACATCGAAGATATTGGATACATGTTTAAGTGAGTGTAATTGCGATCCCAATCATTTTCAGCGTTTATAGACATTCTTCATTTCAGAGCAAATCAATTTGTCACTTTCTATAATCAAACAATGGAAAACCGAAGCGAAGTTACAAATCAAAAGACGATAAAAGCTTGGCATTTCGTATCGAAACTTTTCACCGATTTTGTTAAAACCGGGTATATTTTTTTAAAACTTTTACTCAATAGTTTCAGTTGGTGTTGATTTATTGAAAACACAATTTGTATTCATTTATTCAGTCGATCGGCAAACAGTAGTCCCGTCGAATCAGTGGAAAGTGCACAATGCGTTCACATTATGAACGATGGCCTTGGTTCGATTATTCAACCAAGAAAAGAAAGAATGGAATTGTGGAATCAAATTAGAGAATATCTTAAACCATATATTATCGACGAATATTAAATTATCATGTAAATTATATGGCAATGTCACTAGCAATGTCATAATAGCATAGTGTGGCAGACTCATGTGAAAAAAGATAAAGGTATACAATTTGTTGGCAGGTACGCATTCAAAATAATAATGTAAAAATAAATAAAAAAATCACCATATTTTCAAGTGATCAAAAGTGTGTCTGTTGTAAATCATGAACTTCAGTGGTGCATTAAAATTAATGATTTAATTACGTTTCAATTTGTATAAATAACCAATATCAATTCGAACGCTCCGTTTTCATTCCCAAAGCAAAAACAAAAATTAAGCGAAATATTGAATTACGCACACTCAGTGTCGATAGCAACAAGCGATAAATGCAAGGAGAACGCCAACCACGAACAATCAGTCAATATTTATTAATTTTATTGAGCATGAATGTTGTGATTTTTCAAGAAAATGCGCTGGCTTGGTGGTGCCTGAACCACCAATATCAAATTGAACATGATGTTACCATTCCCTGAATTACATCGATTCTTCTCTATATTATTTATGTAACAAAATTATGTTCGAACCATAGGGACAACTGCGAACAAGTAAAATACCGTATCTATTTTTATATACTTCATTATTGGAATTGATGTTAGTACTATCTCACAAGTCTCTCGACGAAACTGTCAAAGACTCTTAACTATTCGCTTTTCTCGTGAGACGACGAACAGGGCGTGTACGTATACTCAACTCAGCAGAGTAAATATAATTTGTTATGAATTATTCAACATCAGTGATTTACATGTTTCTTCGTAAAAAGGGACCAACATAGCAACAATGACTAACGTGAATCGACTTTTGAACAACTCAAAACTTAACATGCAAAATCGAAATACAAACCAACTTTGTTTGCTAAACAGAACAATTTATATTCAAGCGAGAACCATTTTAATTTCCAATATTGGAAAGATCCAACCGAATCGTCGAATAACATTCAATGAATAACCAGTCAATAGGTAAAAAAGTTTGAAGTAAAAAGTTTGCAATCCATGCTTTACATAGTATAGTTTCAACTCAAATAGTTTTTGACAGGTGAGAACAAGTTGAAATGCGAAAATGTAACACGCCATTCATCGGCCAAGAAGGGTCAATTAAACACGCACAAGATTTTGCGACAAGAAAAACAACTGAAAATTCGTTTTTATGGTTGTACTAAAAATATACTTGGTATAATGTATTATGCACATCTTTTCATTGATTTTGTAAACAATTTAATCATATCCAGACTGTTTTTTGTTGTTGTTGAGAACGATCGAAAATATTATTTTTGCTCCAATACCAGACAATATATTGAAATAAGTGGTCAGTGGAGCTGACAGTACGTTAGCCAGCTAAATGGACTAAAACAATAGAAGTTTATTTAAAAAAGAAAAGTGATTCATCATTAAAACAATAACGTCTATTTTTTTAACCCATTTAGCTAGCTAACGTACTGTCAGCTCAACTGACCAGTTAGTTAAATATATGGTCTGTCCAATACAAAGTATGAATTTGGAGAATTTGGGAATGGATAACAGCCATTCTATAGAAAAAGTGTCATTGTAAATATAAAAAAATAAAAATCACGTGCTCTTTTTCATTCGTCTACATTCATTTCATGCTTGGCTGCTGTTAATTGAATAAATTTATCAGATGTTCGGTTCAAATTGTTAGAAATGCATACCTTCAGAGTACCAAAAGCAGCTTTCTATATTTCAGCAAAATTTTCAATTAAAATTGGATATAAAATATAAATCCCAAAATAGAAATCTATCGTCAGTTCAGAATATGGTTCCAAAAAGAGATCATTGGCTTAAATTTCAATAAATCTTTTCTTACCATTGGCTTATATATTCGGAGTATTAAATGGATATTTTTGGAACAATACGTGGAAATCACATCATCAATGAAATGGAATGAAATATAATTGGCTAATAATTGACCTTCAATATATGTGATGTTAAGGTGAAAAGTCAACATGTTTATAAATATATATTTCAGATCTATCTCCGTATATCTTTGTATAAATGACATGTAGAAAAATTCTTGGTTTTCATTGATGCATTTGAAACATTCTCAGCATAAATACTGCTTTTGGTGAAAAAACTGAACGTAAATGGAAAGTGTATGTCGGTTGTTAAGTTCGAATGTAGTCAGTTTACTTATTTTAAGCATATCGGTACACATGAATAGCGCTAGAGCATACCGTTGTAGGTTTTTTATATGACATTCTCTCTCCATGTGTGTAAATTCTCATTCATCTATATTTCAAGCAAACTGAAGAAAGAACATTTTTGACGAAAATAAAAAAACGTGATATTTCAATGGCAATGCTTTGCGATAAAATTCAAGTTACTTTTCAAGTGAAAAAGTAGAATGTGTTCTGATAAACTTTTGTGGTTTTGAAGCGCATTTTTATGCTTCTGCAAGCAATCAATTCTGCAAACCGAATATAACATGAGATTGCAATTTACTTGATTTTATATGAATTTTCTGTGTGAGTGGAACTGTGTACAATTGCACGGTTTACTGCCATATAAATGTTTTTTCTTCAGTTTGAATTTTCAAATTGACATGGAATTTACCCAGAATTGACTGAATTTTGTCACGTAACATCCAATTTGAGGTTTTCAATTGTCATCATGAAAAACGAAACTAATAAAATTTACTGCATTCACGAGCGAAAGTTATTTCTTTTTAATCATGGCTTTTTGGTTTAAAGTAACATCAATTTTTCTTTACTTTGTTGAAACGACGTCTTCAATATTGATAAAGTCAATATTACATTGAATCGTGGAAATAGGTAATTATTTTTGTTGTAAAAATTCTCTAATATATTTGTTTGTTTTCAATAAATCCAAGATTAAGTAGTACTCTCTTCATATAATAGCAAATAAAAGAGATAGAAGAACATGGAATCTTCTTTTTTGCTCAGTGATTTAATAAATTCAAATATAAATGAAGATAAATCAAATTCTTTCTATATTGTAAATAACTAAATTTTCTGGATTATATTTTTATATGGATTTTGTGAAAAAATTCAATTTTTGATACTTGAAATAAATCTCATGAGTATTTTCTGTTTTACCAATCTTCAAGTACTACGTATGGTTGACTAGATTTTTTTTCCTTTTATTTCCTTTAACTCCTAGTGGAGCATAGGGCCTTCAGATAAGAATTCTTATCTTTCTGGTTTCTGTTGATCAGTTAATTCAGATAAATCGGTGATCAGCCGATTGTATCCTACATTTCTTATGATTTTGCCATATTCTATATGGTGTTGGATTTCTATTTTACGCGTCTGTGCTGAAATCCATACCTTTGTTGTACACAGGCACAGTTGACACAGTATTTTACTAACTACTGCATACGATGTTCTAAACGGTCACCCATTTATCTCCTGACCAAAGCTTGTGCAGCTCTCAGTTGATCGAATAGTGCCGCAGTAGTCGTAGTAGCCACTGTGCCCACAAGATAAGGTTGATTAGATAAGGTAATTAAATACAATAGAAAATTCATAAAAGTTTTTCCATGCACGAAGAAGAAACTTTTGCCTTGTTCGGGATACATGTCACCGATTTTTCATAAATGTTTGCCAAACAAAAAGAACAAAAGGTTAGTTGACAAACTGGAAAAGTTGGATAAGCGATAAAACATTTTGAATGACATTGCTCGATATTTTTCGGTGAGCACAAATTATAATTTAATGCAAATTCGTGTGAAAGGGAATGGCAGACGTGTCACCATATGTTCAAACTTGCAATGTGTGTGACGGCAATGATTAGATTAAAAATTCTCTCTTGAGAAAACTAAGTATCGGACAATCGACCATAATTGCATTTATTGAATTATTCGGTGCAACGACCACTTTTCTAATTGACCATATTCAAATAATAATATCGGAGTAATTGACGCTTGTTAATTTCGTCAAAACTAGCGTGTGTGTGTGTAAATATGTGAAATTGTAATTAACATTTCAACATGAATCTAAATTGAGGAATGCGAAACGAAAGCAAACAATTAAATAACAGAGAAAGCCAGCAACTGTCAGTTTTTTAAAAGTTTTTCTTGGAAAGAACAATGTAGAATAAACGAAATTGCAAAGTTACTTCAAATTTAAAAAAAAAAAAAAACTTTTTTCCATCGAAATGACAGAAAACTATAAAGAATTCTTCCACTCTGCATGTCAAGAATTTGGCCTTTTATAAAACGAACAATCTCAAATGACTGGCACAGATTTTCTGAACCGGAATTCTTTGTCAAGTACAATTACTTTAATGCAAGTTAGTTGAATTTTGCCAAAATGTGTACGCTGTACATTCGAAATGTGAACTGCAAAAGAAAGGAGTCAAATAACGAACCAAAGCGACACTAAGTTGATGGCATAAAAGATACAACGTTCACTTTGTCTTGAGAATTTTGCAATTAATGGCAAGTTCATTCCTGTGCAAAGTTGAAGAAGCTTAACTATTTATACATTTATGTATGTTTCTGATTGCATTCATATAATTCAAGGATTCAAGATGAAAGAGACGTCATCATTTTTAACGAAATGAATGAACGTAGAAAAAAACAGTCTTAATTAGCCCTATGTAAGTGTAACTAATTGCAACTCCGCCAACTGAATATTTTCCATGGAACAAAATTATTATACCAAAGAGACAAGAGAGTCAAAAACTAGTACATTCTGCAGGCACGAACAAGTTTTTGATTCATTTTTCAAATCATGAATCCATTTCTTACTTCACTCGAATGCATTCAATTCGTGGGGCAACTCTTTACACAAAGCACAAGAAAAGCTTTTAACACATAGTATTACTAATAATTCAAACGGAATTCTCGTGTCTTCAATCTTCTTTCGTATCATACTTCCTTTTCGCTGTTCGAGTTTGGTTATTATTTTGAGTTCGTGACGAAAAAGGGCTAAATTGATTCAAGTCGTTCAATTATAAAGCAATGAAAGCTGTTTTTTCTCATTCAAACAACATATTCGAATGTTCAATATTGAGTTTTATGAGAGTAAACTAAATCTCGATTTGAACGTGATTTCAAATTATAAGGGCACGCCGCCATAATAGATCTAACATACATTTTCGGAAATCGATGCCATTCATTTGA